AGCCAGCCGCTTCCACCGTCGTGTTTTCCTCATAATGTCAAAAGGGAAAAAAGAGAAAGCTGCCTAAAAGCATTTTTCTTTTTTGGAAAGAACCTAGGTATAAATAAATAAAGTGAAACCCAGCCAAAGAACAAGATTAAAACCAGAAAATCAAAGCTGGAAGCGCCGCGCTTGGCCCGGGGTGGAAAGGGCGGCTCCCGCGGGGTCGCTTCCGGGCGGCCAGGTCTTCGTTCTCGCGTCTCTTTCTTCTTTCTTGTGCGTTTGCCGTTCCGACCGGGGGCGGCGGTTTCGCGTCCAGCCTTGCCCAACCTTTGGGTGGAGTGACGGAAAGAGAAGGAGTTTGGAAACACACATGTACGCATTGAACGGACGCTAAAAGCCAGCCTTGATTGAGTGCCTGCTGCGCGCCAGCAGTTGTGGAGGGAGCCCGGGTCTCCGTGGAAACCGAGGCACGGAGCAATGGCGGAGCCCGCCCAGGGTCACCCAGCTGGTCCACGTCGGCGACCGAACCGTGATCCGAAACCAGCAGACTGGCTCCAGGGTTCTAAACCCTTCGTGGTGCTGCTCTTCGAAGACACTTGAAGACCCACTGTGTGCAGGCGCTGAGTTAGCACTGGTGTGGGCAGATGGCCCAGGAAAGAGATAGTTACAGGGCTGTGTGACCTGAGCTGGGCGGAAAGGAGTCTGGGGTGGATGTGGAGCACCCAGGAAGGCTTCCCGGAGGAGGTGACCAGTCAGTGGAGGCTTCAAGTTTTGTGAGATTGGGCTGGGGACAGTGAAGTGCAAGACCAGGTCGAACCAGGTCCAGTCCTGACTTCAGGGCTCGCTGGTGGTGCGCCTCGGGTGCCTTCACCTCTGACAGGTGCCGGCCCAGCCAGGGCCCAGCCGCTCCCTCATAGGCTGGTTAGCAGATGAGATGAATGGACAGTAGGGGAGGTGTCTGGCACATAGTAGGTGCTCAGGAGATGATAGCGGCCCTCTTCCCCTTTCCCAGTGACAAGCAGGACGTTCACTGTGACCTGAGGCTACGACCTGCTGGCCCCTGGCTGGCCCACAGAATTTGAGTTATGTGTTGACATAAACTGGGAGATTCTACACCAAACCCCGGATTTCCTGCTTTACTTGAAAACTGCCGAGAGCCGGTGACTGCGGCCGGCCCCGATGGGGCCCTCATGCGGTCGAATGCTCTCCCCCGCTCTCTCTGCTGACCTGGCCCCCACGCCCCCTCCCTCTGACCCTCCTGGCGCTCCCCAGCCCGTGTCCACCGTGTGGCCCACGGCCACAAAGTGTGGCCCCGGGAGGTGGCCGCGGGTGTGTGTGGCTGGCTGCTGGGTTCCGTGCGGACAGCGGCCGACACTCAGCGTGGACCCCCGGCCGCAGCGTCGGGCCCAGTCCCTTTGAACGCCCACGCCCACCGCGCACGCCCGCCAGACATCCGGACCTTTCTCCGTGACTCAGGACAGCTGGGATTTCGCGTCTTTGAAGTGCTTCTCTTTCTGGCAAACGGACCGGCACTTTAAAAACCAAAACATTCCTGGGATTCGTGGAAAGCCACTCATCTGGCCGACCGGGGTCCTTGGGGAGAAGCCGTGGTTCAAGGGGAGCCCCCCCTTCCAGTCATCTGACTGACCCGCAGGAGATGGGAATCAGGCTCAGACCAAAAGCTCCTCAGCCGAGTGCCCCTCGGAGAACCCAGGCTGCGAAGGGCAGCCGCGTCCTGAGGGCGTCTGAGAACTTGCCTGTGGTTCGGCATCGACGTGGCCGCCACGGTCCGCTTTCAGAATCCGGCTCTGCTATGTCACCCGTATGCTTTGACAGAGTCTTTAAGTCCCTTCTCTGGATTCCTGGCATCCTTCAAGGCCACACTCACTTGCTGCCTCCTCCAGGAAGCCTTCCATGGTTCTCCCCGGGACGAGGAACCTCACCTTCCTCTTCATCTCTCATTCCTCAGCTGGCACCCCTCTCGGAGCCGCTGTGTACCCGCACCTGCCACCCAGCCCAGAGCTTGGACTCCGAGCCAGGAGCTGAGTGCCCTCAATCCCCCTTGTTCCTCAAAACACCCCTGGAGGCAGGCACTGCTGCCCCTCCCCCCCACTCCAGATGGGGAAACTGAGACTTAGCAAGGCGAGGGGACTTGCTCCAAGCCACATCCCAGCATGGGGCCAAGTGCGATGGGAACCCGGGGCTCTGTGACCACAGACCCAGGCTCCCGGCAGCTGGCGGCTGGCCCTGCGGTCTGCGTGAGACCCCTGCCTCCTGGCCCGCGGCCTCGTCCACCTCTGGGCGTTAGCGTGACCAGCCCCTCCGGAGTTCCGGCTGAGCCAGAGCCCGGGCGGGGCTGTGCGAGAGCATCTCTCATCGATTAAGGCCGTGCGACTCCGGGCCCTGGGCCCTGTTCCGCGTTATCTTTGATGTTCCAGGGCGTGTGGAAATCGCTCTGTTTTCTTGTGACCCAGTTTCTGGGCTTTGAAAACGCCAATCCCTTCCTCCCTCCCCCCACTCTCTGGCTTGCTGCATTTTTTCACATCCCCCTCCGCCCCTCCCGCCCGTCCTGTGTCCACAGGAGTGGACGGCCCGCGTGGCAGCCTGGGGCTTTCCGAGAGGAGTCGTGGGCTCTCGGTCGTGGCTCACCTGCGTGGCTCACCTGTGCCCTGAAGCCCACCTGTGTAACCCTCCGCTTATAAAAAACCGGGGTCTTTGTTCTTCCCTGGCTGGGAACGTAACTGTCACGGCTCTCCTTGACTGGAAGGGCCCCCCTGCCCTCTCCGTGCCCCCTCTGTGGCATCGGCCCAGGAGAGGGACCGGGGAGCCCGGGGTCTTCCGTGTGCATGCATTTCACCCACGCACGTGCACGCCTGTCTGCATGACGACTGTGAAGAAAACCCTTTTCCTCCCTGGCTGGCGTAGCTCAGTGGATTGAGCGTGAACCAAAGTGTCGTAGGTTCGATTCCCAGTCAGGGCACATGCCTGGGTTGCAGGCCAGGGCCCCCAGCAACTGCACATTGATGTTTCTCTCTCTCTCTCTTTCTCCCTCCCTTCCCTCTCTAAAAATGGATGAATAAAATCTTAAAAAAAAACCAAAACCCAAAACCCCTTTCCTCCTTCCCCTTCTGCCTCTGAAAACACCTTTCTGGCTAAATCCTTTGTATTTTGTTCTGGAGTAAAAATAACAGCTGAAATTTCATCTCTGTTGTCCAACGTGGCCCAGGCGAGCTGCGGGGGTCTCTGGAGTGTCTGTAGGGCAGGGAGGCCGGGGGGTCTCACCAGTGACCCTGCTCATCGGTTTCTCGTGGAGGTGCTGGGCTCGGGCTGCTTCTCGCGCCGAGTCCGGCTCCGGTTCTCAGGACGGCGCGTGGGCCGAGGCGGGGCGCATGCCACCCGCCGCGGGGCTGGCTTCCAGACGGAAATGCTGTGGCAGGGTCCCCTTTCTTCTTTCTTTTCAACGGTGCTGCAACATGCGCCCCATAACATTTTCCACCTTCACCATTTTTGAGGGTGTCATCCAGGGGCATAACGTCCATTCACGCTGTGCTGCCATCCACGCTGTCCGTCTCCAGAACGTTCTCCTCTCCCCAGGCTGACACTCTGAGCCCGCCAAGCGACAGCCTCTCCTCCCCCGGCCCCCCGGCCCCCGGCCCCCTCCTTTCTGTCTCTGGATGCGGCCTCGCCAGGGGCCCCATGTCTGTGGACTCGCACGGGGTCGGTCCTTCCGTGTCTGCCTGAAGCCGGGCACACGGCTCCCCGTTTCCCCCGGCCCTCCCGGGGGCCCTGACCCTTGGGGGAGCAGCCTCCTCCAGGTGACCGGGACCTGCGTGGTGGCACCGCTGCCAGCCGGGGGCGATCTCCACGGCCTGCCAGTTCCCGAGCCATCGTGCCGAGTCCCCCTCCCCCTCTGTCACCTGTCACTTCGGTGCCCGGGTTGGAGGTGTTCCAGGTTCGAAGTGGCAGTGGTGTTGAAGGAGGAAATAGGTTTTCACCTCTGAGGACGTCTGTCAAAGAGGGGAAGGCCCAGGCACTTGCCACTGGCCGTCACCGGTGGACAGGCTGGTTTTGTGGCGTGCGATCGGGGACTGTGAAAGGCGGCAGGTGCCCAGGCCCCCACCGCACCCAGTGAATCTGACCTTGGGGCCGAGGCCGGAAGTCACCGTCGTGGTCCGTGGAAGAAACGCGGGGCCCAAGGTGAGGGTGTCAGTGCCCTGCGTGTCGGGGGCGCCCCCTGGTGGATGTGACTGCAGGTGTCTTCTAGAGCGCCCTTGCGCGCAGAGCGAGGGATCCTTCCGCGCAGAGCGAGGGATCCTTCCGCGTAGAGCGAGGGATCCTTCCGCCACTGTGGGATCCATGCTGTGCTTCTGGGCGCCCTGGGCTCCGTGGACCCTCCACCCCGACACACACACGCAGCCGGGATGTGTCTCTGGACAGGAGGCCGTGGCGCCTCCAGTGCGAAGCCTCTGCGGCACATTCTGGGCTCCCGACCCCGGGCGGCACCTGCCATCAGACTGTCAGGGCTCTGTCCCCATGAACGTGGCCTTGAGAAAGGTGTTGCTTTCATCTCTGCACTTGCCCAGGGACGCGTTGGGAGGGGCCTTCACACCGGGGGTCACCGTCGTGGGACACAGCTCTCCAGGGGGGGACGGGGAGCTCTACCTTCTGGCCCTGTCGCTGGGACTCACGCTTTGACCGTCTCGGCAGCCTTGGGCAGCTCCGGAGGCTTCCAGAAGCTTCCGTGTCATAGTCACGTATTCTGCAGAGCGGTGCGAACAGACTGGCAGCGCTTGGCAGGGACGGGGCGTGTTTGGCGGGGGAGGGAAGGGGGGCCTCGCAGCACAGGCTCTGGTCCGGATCCCTTCTCCCCAGACTCCTCTGGGCGGCCGGCCCCGTGCGCGAGTCTGCTCAGCGCTCAGAAAACCAGGAGCTGATTTCTCCGCGCTGCCAGCCCGGCAGGCCGCGGCGTTCCGTTCTCGCTAACCGGTGTCCCCTTTCTCCTTCCGCCCCCCCCGCAGTGAGCGACCTGCAGGAGGAAGGCAAAAATGCCATCAACTCGCCGATGTCCCCTGCCTCGGTGGACCTGCACCCTGAGGACACCCTGCTAGGTACGGGGGACTCCGCGCCCTCCGTGGGCTGTGAGACCAGGGTGGGGGACCATTCCTGGCGGGGCGGGGCGGGGGCGGGGCAGGGGCGGCACTCGGGCAGGCACTAGGAGGGAGGGTCTAGGCGGAAGCTGGTCTGTGGTTTCCCTGGGGGTGGGGTGGGGGAGGGGAAGGTGGGGCGAGCGGCTCAGGCCTGGCTGCGGTGGGCAGCGACAGGGGGCTCTGGGGCCCGGAGTGCTGTGGAGGTGCCTGAGCCTGGTCCTTACGGTCCCCGGGAAAGCGGCTGTCTCCCGGGAGTGTGCAGCCCGGTAACCGAGGCGACTGGGGTGTGGGCCCTCGAGAGTTTGCACGGGAAAGGCCGGCACAGGGGCGCGTGCTGGCTGTCTCGGGAACTAGCCGGCGCCGGGAGGGGCAGCCTCTCCAGTCTGCAAGGCCCCACGAGGCCCCCAAATGTGAAAGCATCAGACACTGAGACACACGCGGGATGTTCCCCTCCCACATCTCTGAGCAAGCCGGCGCCGTCCCAGGCCTGGAGCTTGCTGGGTGGGACCGGCTGAGGGCACCCTGGTCCTGGCGGCCACGTCACAGCCTGGCACTCGTGGGGCGACAGCCCGGACACGCTGTTTTTGAAGCGCGTGTTGGGATCTGATCGCCCTGGAAGGCGGTGGTGGAACATTCTGTTGGCTTCCGAGCCCCGGTTCGAAGGGAAGTCCCAGAGGATCCCTCTGTTGTGGTTTCCACGGCGAGGCGCGGCCCGGCCTGCATGAGCGTGTGGAAATGCAGACGCACGCTCAGCCCGAAGCCGCGGTCCCGCGGGTGCACTGAGGTTCCTCCCTCTCCTCTCGGAAGAGCACGGCTCTCCACTGTTGGCGCGGCTGCGCCGGCGGGCGCCCCTGGGCGGCTCTGTCCGGGAGGAGATGGGATCGGCTTGCGGGTCTGGCGCTCAGCCCAGGTTTGAGCAGGCCCCCCCAGGGCAGTAGGCGCTGGATGAGTCCTTGCTGTGGGGCGGTCCTGTGCCTCGTGGGGTGCTGCTTGGCACCCCCCGGCCTCTGGCCTCTGGAGCGTCCCCCTCCACCCCCCGCTCCAGTTGGGACCACCAGAAACCCCGGGGCGGGCACACGGTCACTCCCCACTCTGGCCCAATGGGGGCCGAGAGCAAACTCGTCCTCAGTGTGTGGCAGGTTCTCATTTTGGCAACGAGGCCTTGAACCTGCCTGTCTCTGGGCCCAACCCCCTCCTCTCCCTGTCTTTTGAACTAGCTGCCCTGGGGGCTGGGTGTCGGGGCTCTCCAGGTTGCTTCGTGGGGTCCCATGGCCCCCGAGGCTCAGGCAGCACCTGGAGCTGAACTCTGAAGGGTGAAGGCCTGTGGGGTGGGGGGGGGGTGGCAGGTGGGGCGTGGCGTGTGCCAGGGCCCCGGGGCAGGGGGGGGGGTCCTCAGCGCCCGCACGGAGGATGCCAGCCTCCGTCCCAGAGAAGGGGGAGCCTGCCGAGGGCCTCAGCAGGGACGTCCCCTGGGCCCCCCAGGTGACCCCCCCAGTGGTCCCCCGTGTGTCACCTGCAGTGTACCTCTCAAGGGTCGGGTCTGCACGTCTCCAAAAGTAGCTTCCCCACTCTGTCAGGGGTTTAGGTTTGCTGCTGAGAAGCCGCTGTCCCTCCAATTCGTTTCACCCCCACCCGCACGGACCGGGTCCCCCGCCCCGAAGAAGCCGGTGCAGGCCCAGGACCCCAGTCTCCGCCGCTTCCAGGCCCCCTCCCGCTGGGTATCCTGGGGGCCCGGCCCCGCCTGCAGCACCCCACCCCACCCCGTGCCTCTTCCATTCCCATGGTCGGTCTGTGCGTGGTGCGGTCCCCCTTCCTCATTACCGCCTCGTCACTGCTCCTGGGAGGGGCTCGCAGGTCCCCTGGGTCAAGGCCAGGGCGTGCAGGGAAAGACAGACAGGTGAATGCACCAACAGAATAAGGATGAACACAGTTTGCTGCAAAACATCAACCTCTTTTTTTTTCTTCCTTTTTTTTTTTTTTTGCTTTTTGCCCCTAATATTTTTTGTTCCGTCCTCTTCCGGCAGCTTCCCCAGCGTGTGTGTTTGCTCCCAGCGGCCCCCCCCGCCATGGGTCTGCTCCGGCCTGCGTGTGTGGCCGCCCCGCCCAGGGCCCCTCCCACCAGACGGGGGAGCCAGTGAGGGGCGAGGCTGGCAGAGCGAGGGGGTGACTGCGCCCCTTTCAGGGAGAAGCAGATGAAGGCGCAGGGGTACCACCATCCGCCTTCCGGTGGGCAGATCCCACCCTGGGCTGTCCCTCCACGCATGGCCAGTGTGACTGGTCCTCGCTGAGAAAACCCGGGGTTCTCTGCTCTCAGCCACCTGCCCCCTTGGTGCTGGGCCGCCCCCGTGCGCCTGCCCTGCCCCCGCGGCTGACCTGACCCCCTTGTCCCGGCAGAGGAGAACGAGGAGCGCAGGATGATCGACCCCACCTCCAAGGACGACCCCAAGTTCAAGGAGCTGGTCAAGGTAAGGAGGGGCATCCTGGCTGGAGCGTTCCTGTGGGGGGGGCAAAGCGCTGGGCGTCGGGGCTCTGGTGAGGAAGGAGCCTTCCTCCTGCCTCGTTCGGAGAGGGACGCCGTGTAGGCGAGGAGGAGGGGGCCCAGGTCAGAGCGAGGACACCTCCCAGGGGCCTTCACAGCCACGGGCTTACCCCCTGCGCTGGGCCGGAGGAGCAGCCGGCGGCCTCTCGCAGCCCCGAGCACACAGGGCTCAGACGCCTTCCGCACATGGCGGGGGCTCAGGGGTGTCCGACCCTGCCCAGCAGGCCCCGCTGCCCCTGCTCGGGGATGGTCTGATGCGGACACCCCCGCTCTGGCAGGCGGCGGGCTGCTGCAGCGTCTGGAAGCGCAGGCACGAGCTAGACGAGGGGATGGCTGCACCGTTCCCCAAAGTCAAGGATGCGGGGACAAGGGGGGCTTCCAACTCCGAGTTTCCTCGTGGCTGCTCTCCGCCTGGCGTGGTTTCTAAGCCGCAGCTCAGCGCTGAGGTTTGTCCGTCGCATCTTCCCCCGCGTCTGGGCACCGACGGCAGGTTGCATTGCCCCGGTCGGAACCACAGGAGGGCCTCGGAGGTCACCCTGGCGCGCGGGGGCCCTGGGCTGCCTGCTCTGCCGGCCCCAGCTCCGGGCAGGCAGCCGCGGAAATCGCTCTCTCCCGCATGCAGCCCGAGGCCGGCTCCGGCGACCCAGGCGCTCGGTGTCGGGCGGTGCTCGTGGCAGGCAGACACTCTGTTTGAAGTGCTTTTCAGAGAGTTCCTTCCCCAGCACCGCGGCTGTGTCTCCGCAGGGGCTGAGACAGGCTGGAGGAGATCCTGTGCAAGGCGCCTCCTTTAAAAACCAAAGTGGAAAATGCCAGTTTGGGGACCCACCCAAAAATGTCGATGCCCCGTTTATCTTACTAAGATGATTCCCCCCAGTGGCACCAGTGTGTTACTCTGAGCAAACTGCGTGTCGGGGAGGAGAGTGGCCTCCTCTGGCTGGTCGGACCTGAGGGGCCTCAGCCAGGCCGCCTCCCAGTGGTTCCTGGTCGGGATTCGGCTCGGACACCGTGGTTTTCGGTGCCGGGTGTGGTCCGCGTGGAGGCCGGAGCGGGCCAGGTGAGGTGCGAGTGACATCCTGACCGCTGGCCGAGTCCCAGTCCTGGGACCTGCGGGACATTCCCGAGGAAGCGCGGCCAATGGCCAATCCCGTTTCCTTTCTCTGTCCGCTGCTGTGCAAGCGGTTCTGCTCTGGCCTCGGCCCTGCCCTGCCTCCCTCCGCACGTGCGTGCGTGCTGCTGACCCTGCCGCCTGCAGGCTGTCGCCGAGTGCAGCGCCAACATCGGCCCTCGCTTCTGGGGAACAGGCCCTGGGTTCACGCGGCGAGTCCGTCTGGGCCTCTGCTGCGCACAGGGCGGGTTCCGGGGCGACGGGTGTGCTGGGCTCCGGAGTGCGGCTTCCTGGGTGGAGAACCAGCCCGGCGAACGTGGGAGAGCCGTTGGGGCTCCCTCCCAGCGCTCTCCCGGGGCTGACGTAGGGCCCCACACAGGACCCCACGCCGTGGCCCGGAGGCAGGCCTGGTGCTGCGAGAGCGCCAGCAGGCAGGTGCGCCGGACGGAGTGAGAAGCGGCCCCCCCACCCACAGGTTCAGAGCCCAGAAGCCATGCCCTGACGCCACCTGGGCTGGTGTCCCGTCCTCGATCCTTCCTCCGGCTCCCCCTGAAACGCCCCGGATTACGGGACACAGCGTTTGGCCACCAGGGTGGGGAACAGTTTACAAGCGAGACACTTCTTGTCTTTCCCGGCTTTGGGAAGGGGAACGGCAAGCCCCTTACTCCCCCAAATGCATGGCCGGAGAAAGGCCGTCACCACCCCCGAGGGCGTCGGGGCCCAGAGCAGGCTGGCTGCGTTGCCCCTGGAGTCCGCTCTTCTCCCCGGCGGCTCTCCCGTCTGGCTCCCCGGTGAATCGGACGGGACTCGACCTGGCTGTTCTGCTCCGCTTCTGTCCTCCCTCTGCCCCTGTGACGACGGGCAGGGGGGCCGAAGACGCTCCTCTCGGCACTGCGGGAGGCACGCCTGTGCTGCAGCCGGCCGGCCCCCCGTGGGCTCCGCAGCGGCCAGCGCGTTTGGAAGCGATTAAAATGTAACTGTCACAGCCGCAGGGAGCCGGGCCGCCGATCCCGCTCAGCATTCAGAAGGAGTTGAGGGAGAGTTGTTTGGTATTCTGGGCTAAGCAAGCTCGTCGTGACATGTGCGCGAGAGCCCGTGCCAAGGGTGTCGCTCAGATCCGCCCCGGACGTGCGGCCCACAGGACTCGGGGCTTCGAAGGAGGCAGCCCCGGAGTCAGGGAAAGGCTGCGACCCGGGGCGGAGACGGTGCCCCGGGACGCGCAGGGTGGAGGCCCCCGGGAGGTCACTCCTCCACAGGGGCCTGCGTTTGCTCCCCAGAGCGGAGCCAGCCCCTGGCCTGTGGTGTAGCGTCTGACTTTCGCCCCGTCCCGGCTGTGGTTTCTGCCGTGGGCGTCGGTGTCAGCCGAGGAGACACCCAGACGGAATGCCGCGGCTGCCTGCCCCGGAGGCCTGGCTGGGTCGGCCGGCGCTTCTGCAGCTGGTCTGGGCACCTGCCCTGGGTCTGTCCCCCGTTTGGCCGCCGCGGGCCTGGCACCGAGCACGGCAGTGGTCGGTGTCGGCCGTGACCGCCTGGCTGCGGCGTGCGTGAGGCCTCTGTCTTTGCAACGTCGACCACAGCCTGAAGGGCGTCCTCTTGTTTGACCTTGGCATCTGATGGGAATGTAAGGACCTGGAGGACAGAGGCCCCTCCGTCGTAGTTAGTCCCCGAGCCTGGCACACAGCCGGCGCCCGGCAAATCTGGTAATGAACTCCATTCCTGCAGTGAGCGCTGGGCGGTGCCGGGGGCGGAGCCGTGAACCAGAGGGTCGCAGGTCCTGCCCTCGGAGAACGCACGGTGAGACAGGGCGGACCGCCGGGAACGAAGCCGTGTCTCGGCACGCGTGTGCAAACAGGGTCGGGGATGGCACTCGGGTGTGAGGGGGACGTGGCCTGGGGGTGCGGGGCCGTCAGGGAATGATGCAGAAGCTGGAGACCTGGAGGGTGAGCGAGAGCCGGCCGGGCAGCGGGGGAGGGGACGTACGTGGTCAGGGTGGAGGAGTGGGGTGTGCAAAGGCCCTGAGGCACAGGTGGGCTGGGGGGACCTGAAGAACACCAGTGGGGAGGCAGGTGGTCCGTCTGTGCTGGGGCGCTGGTCCAGGCAGGGGGGTTTCACAAGGGCCGGGGAGGGGAGGGGGTGAGACGTGGACCCAGTGAGGAGGTCGGCAGAAGTGGGGTTTGGGGGTGGAGTCCAGGTTCCTGAAACTGATGGGGGTGGCTGTTTCCCACCAGTTGGTGCAAAAGTGGGGCTTGAGGGTTTCTGGGACAGGGGCAGAGGGGAAAGAGGGAGAAAGAGAGGGAGGGACACATTGATGGGAGAGAGACGCATCCGTCAGCTGCTTCTCACATGCCCTCACACGCCCTCAGCTGGGGACCAGACCCACAACCCAGGCATGTGCCCTGCTCAGGAATCGAACCAGCAACCTTTCGGTCTGCAGGCTGGTACTCAACCCACTGAGCCACACCAGCCAGGGCAGGAACCTGCCTTCCAAGATCAGGAGGAGAAGAAGGTGATGAGGAGGACCCCCCCATCCTCCAAGGACACTGGAAGGGTGGTCAGAGAGGAAGGCGGAAGCCAGGAGGGGAGGCAGCTTGGCTGGGAGCTGATGGCGCCCCGTCACTGGCCAGAGCCCTGTCCCGTGTCCCCACGCCACCTGACCCCCTGGGAGGGAGACAGAGCTGGCCGATTCTCCCAGGACAGGCCCCTGGGGGACCAGAGTGCCCGGGGCCGCCCCGGACTGGCCTTTAATCTACTTCTGCTTCTGCCCTGCAGGGGCTGTGCGCCTGATCTAGTAACTCCACGTCAGCAGGAAAACGGAAAACACCGTATACTTCTCAGAAACTGGCTCTGTGGCCAGTTTTGCGGGTTGCGTGTGTCAGAGAGTGCCAGGGAACGCTGGATTCTGGATGTGTGCCCTTTGGTCGTCTCCGAGAGCGACAATGAACGGCCATTCCCGAGAGGCGAGGGGCGCCGAGGAGGCCGGTTTATTAGTTCTGCGCGGAAAACCCGGGGACGGCGTCTGGTTTTGACCGAGCCGGTTCAGGCGTCCGTTAGACGTTGTGGAGAAGTGGTTTTCGCCGCCGTGGCCCAGGGCATCGCGGTCCGTGGGCGCCCCGGCCCTCCGTGGGTGGTCCCGCCCTCGGAGCTGTCTTCGTCGGCACACTACCACCCGTGGGTGCAGCGGGCAGAGTGGCCGAGCGAGGGCTTCAGGGGAGGGCAGGCCTGGAGACGCGCCCACGTGCCCACGTGCCACGCGTGTGCGCCCACATCGGAGCACCCACGTCCGCCACGCAGCGGGGACAGCCCCGGCTGACGAGGGGCTCCAGCAAGTGTGTGTGTGTGTGTGTGTGCACACACACGCGTGTGCCCTGGACTGGGGTTCGCCCGTAGGGAGGAGCGAGGTACTGACACCCCGAGCGCCGGGGACGGACCTCGGAAACACCACGCTGAGCGAAAGGAGCCAGGCACAGGGGGGTCACGTGTCCTGCGACCCCCCTCACACGGAGCGTCCGGAGCGGGCAGGTCTGGGCACAGGGAGCGCAGCTCAGTGGTCGGAAGGAACGGGGGGCAGGTGGCAGGGGGAGAGTGGCTGTTAACAGGTGCCGGGTTTCTTTCCGGGGGGTCGACGTGTCCTTCCGGGGACGGTGGCGACGGTGGCGCAGGGTTGTGAGTCTGCGGAAACCCACGGGGCCGCAGGGGGTGTGTGAATCCTATCTCCTCGGAGCCGCTGGGAAGAGGAGGAGCCCGGAGCTGGCGACCCTGTGCGGTCCTCTTCGCTCTGCAGCCCTGGGCTCCGCGTGACCCGGGACTGTTCCGAGCGGGGCTCGTGGGCGGGGAGGAGACAGACCCTTTGTGGCCGGCCCGTCCCGCGTTGCGCCTGGCGGTGCCCTGCTCCCCACGCTCACCCGTCCACTCCCCCGTCCTCCACGCGCGGTGACCAGGTGTCGCCATTCCCCCGAGCTCCCGCTTGGCGGAGGCCCAGTCCAGGGCGGTTCTTGCGAATCCCCGCGGGAGCCCCTGGCCACCCGGGGGTGGCTCGGCCCCCTCCGGCCCCCTGCAGCCTGGGAGAAGCTTGCCTTCCCCGTCCTGGCCTGCCCGGGCCCCGTGCCGTGGGTGGCGCCCTCGGTTCCCCGTGCGACCCCGTCATTGCCGTGGCGGCCCGCCCGGCGCTGCTGAGCCTGCCGTGTGCCCGCCCCCCCAGGTCCTCATCGACTGGGTCAACGACGTGCTGGTGGAGGAGCGGATCATCGTGAAGCAGCTGGAGGAGGACCTCTACGACGGCCAGGTGCTGCAGAAGCTCCTGGGTGAGTCCGAGGAAAGGGTGCCCCCCCACGCCGTGCCCCGCACCCCCCCAAGGGCCCCAGCGCAGGGCCACCCCCAGGCCAGGCCGCACGATTCTCCAGGTAGCAGCCGGGGCCGCACGCCCCGAGAGGGGACTCAAAGCCTCGGTCCCACCTGAGCCCACAGCTCCCGGGTGGCGTCCCCGGGGTTCAGGCCATCTGCCCTCTCATCTCTTCTCGGGAGGGGGGGGGGATCCCACCAGAGCTCCCAGCCACGGGCGGCAGCTGGCCATGCACAGCTTCCAGACCGTCTGTGCCTTTCCGTGCTGTGGGGCGCGTGCAGGCAGGGGGAGCACGGGCAGGGGTGCGCTCATCCAGGGGAGCGTTGACGGGGGTGCGCACAGGGCGCTGTCCTCTGGGTCCGCCCTCCCGCCGGCCTGCGCCCCGGCCGTGTGCAGCCCCCTCAGGCGGGAGGTGCGGGTGTGGGCGGGTCCCCAGAGGGCGTTCTGTGAGCGGGCTGTGCAGTGAGGGCTGCGACTCGTGGGGGCAGGCGGGCAGCCCTTTTTGTGTCACGGGCCGTGGACGGTCGGAGCTCCCCGCTGAGCTCACGCAGGCGGAGCAGTGGGCAGTGCCGGCGTGCCGTCTGGAGCCAGTAAGTGGTCACAAAAAAAGAGACAGACATGAAAAGCAAGAGCAGGGGCTGCTGAGCCCCCGAGTTCCTCTGGGTGACGGTCACACGGCCACCGAGCCGACCGACCGACCGAGTCAGTGAGGAGCGCCCTGTGGTCGCCTCACCTCCAAGGGCGGGGGCGGCTCCTTTGGCAGGAGGTGGGTCCAGTGTTTGCCTGGGTCTCTGGGCCTCGGCTCCGTCCAGGGACCAGCTGTGTGCTCCACAGTCTCTCGTCCCCGAGGAGCTGTAATGAATGTTCAGGGCCCCACATGCTCTGCAAGGGTGGCCTCTGAGGACTCTGCGTCCCCTGGCGCGTGGGACAACACACTTCCCGGAGTCAACAGGAGGCCCCGCCCCCGGCCTTGGGCGGGGCCACTCGGGCTGCAGAGGGGGCGGGGCCATGTTTTCCCATAGTTACAGCAGAGGGTGCCTGCGGGGGGCGGGGGGGGGGCGGGGGCAGGGGGTGACACAGCAGGCCCTCTCATTTTCTGATCGGTGTGCTCCCCTCCCCGACCGCCCCCGCAGGCCACCCCCGTGCCTGCCCGCTGCACCCTGAATCGTTTTGTCCGTTTTCTGTGAGCGGCCGGGACGCCCACTGCTCCTCCCTCTCCCCCGCCCCCTTTTCATCCTGGAGCGCGGATGGCGGCGTGAGATTCGGGGTCCCGTTGCTGAGCACCCTGAAACCCCCTTGGTTGCAGGTGATGGGCCCCGCCGTGGGACCGGCGGGGAGGGGACCTCGTCGCAGCCCCCCTGACGGGCGGTCCTGAGCACCCCCAGCTCTGCCTGACCCTCTGCCTCTCGCTCTTGTCCTCCTCCTCCTCCTCCTCGCAGAAAAGCTGGCGGGCTGCAAGCTGAACGTGGCCGAGGTCACGCAGTCAGAAATCGCGCAGAAGCAGAAGCTGCACACGGTGCTGGAGGCCGTGCAGGACCTGCTGCGGCCGCACGGCTGGGCGCCCCAGTGGACCGTGGACGGTGAGCGGCGGCGGGGGAGGGGCGTCCCACTCAGGGCCTCAGTCACAGCCACCAGTTTCTGTCCCCATCCCCCCCGAACCTCAGAGCAGAGTGCGGTTGTTTCTGGCTGGGTACACCGGAGAGACTTCGGGGGACAGACGGGAATTTGGGTTGTACCGGAGAAGCCGGGTGGGGTTCTCGCAAAGGGCCCCACCCCAGATACAGAGGGGAGCTGCACGATGCCCCCCAGGGCAGGGAGGGCTGGCGCCGGCCCCCAGGCTGTGTGTATCGGAGCGTGCCCGGGTTAGGAAGGATGACGTCACCGTACCTCCAGCCGAGCCAGGAGCCGGGAAGGTGAAGATCTAAACCAAGGAAACCGGAGGGTTTTTTTCCTGGCTTCCCTCCCCCCAACCCACCCACCCTCAGTGGAGGGCAGCCCAGGTGTGGCTTCAAAGCGCTCCCCTCGTTGTGGTGACATGTGCCCCTGGTTCCTTGACCTCAAGACCTCAGACAGACCCGAGCTGACCTTGCGGCTGGCAGGACCCTGTGGGTGGGGAATGGAGTGCCTTGGACGCCGGAAAGCCCCGCACAGCGTGGTGACGGCAGGCGCGCCTGATCCCCGTCCTGGAGAGGAGTCCAGGGGTCGGGGCGGGCAGCAGTCACGGCTCACGTCCCCCAGCAGCACCGCCCTCCTGGCCTCCCCTGCGGGACGCTGGTTGCACCAGGAGACGGTGTTCCAAGGGGCCGAGATAACCGTGCACACCCCTGTGACAGCTGCAGGCCGGGACAGCCTGTTTACCCCCGACCTTTCCACCCCGTTTCCTCCCTCTGAAGGGCCTCAGGCTCTTTGAAGTGGCCACACAAGTCGCCTGAGCCAACAGGGAAGGAAAGCATTAGGTGGGAGCTGCGACTCAGCTCACTTAGGATGCTCATTAGCTCTCGTTCCCTTTCCGCGGCCCGTGGCTCCCCCCCCCCACCCCGCTCGTCCCCTGGGGTCTCATTCACACGCGGCACCTTTATCGCCTTTGGGACGTGGGCTCGGGTCCCGATGCAACCCGTCTAAAGCTGCTCCTTCTTTCCTCCCCCTCCCCCCCCCACACAAGCAATTCACGGGAAGAACCTGGTGGCCATCCTCCACCTCCTCGTGTCGCTGGCCACGCACTTCCGGGCCCCGATCCGCCTCCCCGAACACGTGTCCGTGCAGGTGGTGGTCGTGCGGGTGAGTACCGGGCGCCGGGCAGCCAGCCCGCCCGCGGCGCTGCCACAGAGGCAGCTGGGCTTTTCCCTCCTGCGTTTCCCCTCTTCTCCCCCTTCCCCATGCCCACCCGCAAGAGGCTGCCTTCTCCCTCTCCCTCCGGACGAGACGTCCGTCTCGGCCCGCCGTCGGGATCCGGGATTGGAGCGGGAACAATGGCAGTGATTTGAAGAGGCGGCCTCCCAGGCATCGGAGTGTCGGGGTTTAATTTGCCACATTGTGAGGCACGTTCGTTCCTCTCGAAAGCCAGGCGGTCGGGGTGCAGCCCTGTCGGCGGAGCTGGCTGCTCGCTGGGGAAGGAGGAGGAGCCCCACGCGTGAGACACCCCGGGTACAGCTGCGCGCCCCTGCTCTGTCTGCGCCACGCTGCCGCCCCCACGCATGGCCTTCTCCGGGGTTGTTTCTCTGGTTTCCCTTGGAGACGTGTAACCAGGAGGCGGCCCGTCCTGGGGGAAGGGGGACAGACCCTGCCCCGGCTCTGTGCTGGCAGTTCGGTCCAGCACACGTGTGTTAAGCACCTACGAGGTGCCTGGCACCCCACACTGCCTACCGGGGTGGCCGGCAGGAAAACCCGCCTGGGTCCGGCAGGAACAGCAGCCTCTGCTAGACCGTTGGGGTGACCCTCGGAACCCGGGGGTCCGGGTGTCCAGCTCCACGCTCTCCTCGGGGTGGCAAACTTACGGGGCCCGTGGTCTCCGTGGTCTGCCAGGCTCCGGCTGCTCCCGCGTTTCCCGATGCTGTGACCCCTCCGTGACCTGGGAGCTTGGCCTTGACCTGGTGGGCAAGAATGCCCTTCCCTGGCCTCTGGCGAGGGTCCCCTGCCAGCTGGCCCCTCTTACATCCTAAAGAGGAATGCTTGTGGTCAGCGGCGGTGGCACTGGGGACAGGGGACCGCTCCTGTTGCCATCACCTGGGACGCTCCCTCCAGGCAGCCGGCGGGGCAGCCGGGAAAGGCCTCCTGAGGACACGGGCACGTGGTTCGCAGACCCGCACACGTCAGCCACGGGGCCCCGAGAGCCGTGCGGCTCGGTGACTGGGGTATTTCCTTTCAGGCCTGAGCTCCGGTCCAAGGAAATCTTTGTGTCTGTGGAAAGCTTCCCTGACCCGGGCAAGCACTCGCTGGCGCGTCCTCCCGGACCAGGGTCACGGAAGGATTCCCTGGGCCTCGGCCAGAGGGGGCCGGCCGGCCTCAGGCCTCCGCCCGATTCCCCGAGTGCAGAGCGCCTGCCTTCCCTGCGGGCCCCTGGCCTGTGCCCCACGTCCCACTGTCCGGGCTGAGGGCGGGAGGCGCGGGAGGGTGGCAGTTGGTGGGGGGAAGGGAGGAGGCCAGGGCCTCGGTGCCACCCGGCGGTGGCCCTGGGACATTGCTTAATGTCTCTGCGCCACAACGACCCCCGCAAAACCAAGGTCACACCACAACCCTCTAACACACTCCGCCTCGTCTGTTTGGTACTGGGCCTGCGCCCGGCACCCAGTGCCTGCCCAGTGCACGGCCGATGTATACGTGGGGAGACTGTCCTGGGCCCCGCGGTGGGCGCCCCAGAGAGTCAGTCGGGGTGCGGCCATGAGGGGGCCGGCAGCCGCCCGCCCGCCCACCTGTGTGTGGTCACCGCGGTGACAGGAGCCAGCATCGAGGGGTCCCTGCAGGCCGAACACAGCCACGCCCAGGAAGCGTCTCTGCTGAGCGGTGTCCACCTCGGGCGGGCTGCCCAGCAGGGGCTAAGCGCCCTGTCCCTGGAAGGGGTTCGAGGAGGGGCTTCCGGCGGGGGGTGGGTTAGCTGGCCGCTGAGCCGCACTCCGAGGCCCCGTGGCACACAGGCTGCCCCCGCACCGCCGCCCGCCGCCGTCCTCCTCACACTGCCGGCTCCGGGGCACGGGTGTCGCACACTGTCGGTGTCCTGGGGCCGCTCGCCCTGGACGAGGGCGTCAAACCAGCGGACGTGCGCTCCCGCCCAGTTCCGGAGGCCGTGGTCCCTCCGAAGGCTCCGGGGGAGGGTTCCCCCGGCCTCTCCCAGCTTCCGGCGGCTGTTGGCGGCCCGAGGGTCTCCCTGGCTCGTCGGCCTGCCCAGCTGGTCTCTGCTCCCACCGTCTCGGGGGCCTCTCTCCTCTCCGCCCACGTCTCTGTGTCGCTCCTTTCTCTTCTGAGAGGACCCCCGTCCTGTCGGGTCTAAGACCCACCCTCGTCCAGTAGGACTTCATCTTGACTAGTTATATCTGCAAAGACCTGTTTCCAGGTCGTGTTTGGAGGTTCGGAATGGCCACGACGTTAGGGGGACCCCATTCAATCCAGTTCGCGTGTGCAACGTCCTAGGGGCTCCCCCTCGTCACATGTGTTCCCCGGGGCCCCTCCCTGACCCAGGTGCAGGACGCAGAGCCGGGAATGTGGGGGCTGGGAGCTGGGCGTTCCTCCTGAGACCCCCAAAGCTGCCAGCTCTCAGAGCAATGTGGGGAACCCGCGGGGGTAGGTTGGGGGCAGCTTCCGGCCACCAAAGGGGGCCCCGCCTCTGGTCCCCTCTCATGGCTTGAGTGTTCTGCACGTGGCACTTGGATCTTTCGTGGCCCCTGAGGCGGCCTCCTGGCCCTGACCGCCCGCCTGCCCACGGCTGCGGCTCTCCGTCAGCGACGGCGCTCCCCCTCGGGTGTTCCCCCTGCCTGGACGGTGGCGTATTCATGTGTTTGTTTTGGGGTTTGCAGAAGCGGGAAGGCCTGCTGCATTCCAGCCACGTCACGGAGGAGCTGACCACGACCACCGAGTAAGTGGACCCGTGGCCCTGTCCCAGGGACCCAGCACACCACGTCCCTGAACCGTAGGATCGGATTTCCATCCAAGTGTCTGTCCTGGCTTCACACCCTCCACACGCTTCCTTTAAAGTTTTTTATTTTCCTTCTTTTTGAGGAAGGGCAGGCGAGCGGTTCGGTTTGGAATGTAAATGAGAAATTCTAGACCTGTCATTTCTCCCCAAGTAGGAAATGTAAACAAAAATATACGGCATAGGGCCTCTTCGGACCGCCTGGAATCTTTCCTGGAATGAGACAGAGAATAACAAACAAGGAAAGGCATAATTAACCGCGTTCAGAGCCTCCTACAAGGAAGCAGAGGACGAAGAGAAATGTGTAACCTTGAACTTCCCTGTTGTGGGAGTGCTTGACCCCACAGGGTTCAGTGTCAGCATGAGCTAGTCCCCAGAGACGCCGGTGGGCTTGTCTCCCCTTACGGTAGAAGGTGGCCTTGGGGACGCTGAGAGAGGGGACAGGGAGGGAGCTGGCGCTCGGCCAGTGGAGGGACCCCCACTCACCCACCACCCACCCTGGCTCCGGCCGAGGGAGGAGCCGGGCGGCTGAGTGAGAGCCGACCTCTGGCCGGTGGGCGGAGCCGCCTCTGCCCCGCGGAGCCAGCCCGAGGGCGCTGGCCGCGGAGCCCCAGGGGCTTCCGATCTCCCGAGAGGAGCAAATCAGACGTTCCATCTTGCATGTCGCCTTTGGGGGCCCGTGTGACACCGTGTTAAGCGTCTTTAAAATTCATGGCCTTTGTGCCTCTCCGCGACACCTGTTTTGGACGAGACAGAACATTAAAAATGGATGGTCTCGGCGAACCCATCCGCGCGGCTCTCGGCTCTCGGGCTGATCAGTTACGGGGTCATGGACTCCCATGGGTGGTCTCTGAAAGCCCGGTGCCGGCACGGGAGGCCGCTCCTGGGGTGGGCGCTGTCGGGTGGGGGCGGGGGGGGACGCTGGCCGTGGCCCGAGGGGTGTGCCCATCTGTGCCAAGCCCGTGGAGGGGGGTGGGGGCAGGGAGGGGGGACACGGGGCAGCTGGAGGAGAAGCAGGATGGGCCGGTGTCGGCGTTGTCCGTGGGACACGCCACCCCCAAACCGAGCGCCTTGAAACGACAGCCACTGTGTCTGCTGACAGTCCTGTGCAGGCAGTCCGTGCCGGGCTCAGCTGGGCGGGTCTCGGGCCTGTCTGGGGGTGGTGACCAAAGCAGCCCTGTCCCTCCTCACACTCTCTCCTGGGGCTGGGTGTCCCCCCACCCAGTGCCCTCCGGGTCCTGAGGGAGGGAGAGCGGCCACGGGCCCCTGGGACCCCCACGCTTGCATCCTTGAGGTCGTGGGTCAGGGCCAGTAGGAAGGCCGTCCTGGGCCGGAGGGGGGAGGGGCAGCCGGGCCACGGGCAGGCTGAGGGAGACCTGAGAGGAGGGGGGGTGCGGGGGGCGGGGGAGCTCTGTCGTCAGAGGTGACGGGTGGGCGAGCGGCTTCCACAGTCCACGGCACTCATCGGCACGCAGCAGGCCTACTGTGTGCCGGGCGCCCTGCCGGGCGCCGAGAGGCGGAGGGGCGCTCTCCTCTCGCCAGGGCTGGCGGTCCAGCTGGCGAGGACGGGTGTGTCCTTGGACGTGTGAAGTCCAGCTCATGGGAAGTGCCGTGTGGCCCCTGGGGGTTTCAGCAGGACGGGGAGCACCCCCAAACCGGGGCCTGGGGGCCCTGCTGATGGCTCTCTCTCTCTCTGTTTCTTCCTTGCAGGGCGATGATGGGTCGGTTTGGTAAGTAACCCCGGGAGCGGGATGCGGTTGGGGAGTCTGGGGCCGTAGGGCACTTTGGGGTCACCCCAGAAAACCCCCGGAGTTCAGACATCAGGGGCGGCAGGACCCCTGTGTGTGTTGCTCTCGCCCCCTCCCCCCCCCCTCCATCCAGTTCTGGAACCCAGAGGAAGCTCGTGGCTCTCGTGGGCCCGTGCCGTGGGCTGTGTTAGTTCTCGGGGCCGGGCGAGGCCAGGCGGTGAGGAGGGGCGGGCGGCGGAAGGGAGGTCAGGGACGGTCTGGGCTGTGGCCCGTGCCCGCGCCTGCCTGCGGGGACTGAGAGGGCGTGGGAAGGACAGAGGGGAGGGCAGAGCGTGATTAGCCGGGAGAGGGTTTCTGTGCTTTCATGTGCGGCCTTTCCACCTTGAAGCCTCTGGCTCAGCGGACGTCCTCCGAGGCGGGTGGCCTGGGCTGTGGTGTCCGCCCGCTGGGCGTCCTTTGGCCCGCTCCTCCCCGTCTCGGCTCCTCCTCTGAGATGCGGGTCAGCCCAAGGTCGCCGAGGGGATCCGCGGGATGACGGTGCGGGCCGCACTGGCCGGCCCGGCTCCTTCTGTGGGGCGGTGATTACTGCTTGTTCTCAGCGGCCGTGGCCCTGTCCTGGTACAGTCCCACGACCCCATCGGCCCCTCCTCGAGGGACAGGGGACAGAGGGACAGCTCGTGGCAGCGTTCAAACCCAGAGGCAGCCCGAGCCAGGCTCACTGCTTTGCAGAATGACCCCCAGACACCAAGCGCTCCAGTGTGGGGGCGGGGGGGTGGTGGCTGTGAGAAGGCAGAGAGGGAACCGAATAGAAGTTTGCACGTCCCCCCCCCACCCCGCCCCCGGGGGCCTGCTGGCCAGAGCTGGTCCCAGAGCTGCGGGGCCTCAGGGTGCGGGGCTCGCCTGGAGTCCTCCACCGCTGGGCCACCAGGCGCCGTCCCCTCGGGTTGTTGCGGGGCCCACGGCAGGGTGCAAAGAGGGCTCTTCGGTTCTCAAAGTCCTTGCCCGTGGGAAGAATGCACGTGCCTAAAGCTTTGTTAGGTGGGTGGGCCTGGGAGATGCCGTTTTCCCTGTGTTTTTAAGTAGCAGTTCAGGTTGTTTGAGTGTCTTTATTAGTTTACACAAAAGGGGGGAAAGGACAGAGAAAAGGAAACCGTCCTGTGTCCCGTCGCTGAGGTCCCAGGACGGCAGTTGGGGTGCCGCGCATGTGTGGGGCACCCGGGGGACCGGCACCGTGGGCAGCCTGGCACTCATGGGGGCCCTTGTGGGGGTGCAGTGCGCCCCTCTGTCTCATCCCTGTCTCATCTCTGCAGGGAGGGGTCCAGACCCCTCGCAGAAGTGACAAGGTGACGAGGTGACGAGTGGGGCCCTCGGAGCATTTTAGGCTGTCATCTGGTTTCTGGTATTGTCACTCCGTGTTTGGGACAGGCCTGGTTCGAGGTCTGGGAACTCGGGGGGAATCGGCCCCATTGGGGGCTGTGTGGAACTGTGCCGAGTACAGACGCTGGGTGAGAAGCCCTGGCCCCAATGCGAGCGGGCTCTCGGGGTCGGTGCACAGGATGGGACTCTGGGGTGAGGGCCCGGTGTCCCGGTGCGGCAGTGGGTGCCACCGCCGGGCTGATGAGCGCGGAGCTGGCCGGGCATCCGGCTGGGGGCAGGGACAGTGCAGCCACGAGCCGCGGAGCTGGCCTCATTCCTCACAGGCTCCTGCCTGCGCACGAGTGCAAACAGGCCATTAGCGCGTGGCAGGCAATTAGTTCCACTCCTCGGTGGCTCCGCTGACGCACGCGCCAGGTCTCCCGGTGGCCCAGACCGGCAGCCTTGGGGGTGTAGCAGGGCTCCCGCCGGCCCTTCTCCTGTGGGCGCCTTCGCCCTCCGAGGTGGGCTCTCCCCAGGGTGGTGCTGGTCCCCAGCCGGCCCCTCTAGCTGGTTCCTGAACACTGTCGCTGGGGCCGGGCTTTTTAAAGCACCCCCGCATCCCTAACTCTTCTTTCCTCTGCCCCCCTCCTTGTGTTAAGCCAAAGCCACGGCCCTTGCGTGACCTTCAATGCCTTCTCAGGCCACCCCTCCGGATGCCCCCTCCTCTCTGGCCTCCTCGCTCCCCCTGCAAGCCCAGCCCGCCTGCGGCTCCCTCCCTGCACCTGGGGCGTGCTCCCTTCAGCTTTCACGCTGCAGAGCCCCGGGCCTGGGGTTCTCTCCCCCTAGATCCCCCAGGTGACCCCCCCCCATGGCTCACTCCCTCGGCTCCTCCAGCTCTCCTTCAAACGGCACTTACCCAGGTGACTTCTCAAACCGCCCCGCCCCAAAGGACCACCCTCTGGCTTGTCCTGCGCCCACCCTCCTTGTCACTTCCTTGTGCACGTCTGTGCTCCCGGGAACCACGCTGCTCTGCTCCCCGTGTCCGTGCACACTCGCGTCAGGCCCTGCCTCGTGCCTGGCAGACTCGGGGTGCCCGGGCGGCGTGGGGACCCCTCCGGCCCTGTCCACTTCCCGTTCGCCTGAGGCTGCTTGACTGTAAGCGTCCTGGGGGCCAGAGCCCTGTCTGCCGCAGCGTGCATCACCCGGGGGCCTTCGGGGCCCCAGGCAGGCCCCCCTCGGGCAGGCGGCTGCCCTGAGCTTCACCGGGAGCCTGTCCTCAGCCACGGTGTGTCTCTCATAAGCACTCTGAGCCGGGGGGGGGGGGCGTCCACGCTGCCCCCACCCCCACCCCCCACTCCCAGCTCCTGACAGCATCCCTGCACTGGCTGAGGTGGGACAGGAGGCCCCTCTCTCCCCAGGGGTGTTGGGGAGCTGCAGCCTGGTCTCCATGGCAACGGGGTTGCTGGCTGCCTTTCTGGGAAGGCGGCCATCCCCCTCCCCGGGTAGGTGGGGGAGAAGGGAACAGAAGCGTTCTTCCTCTTCCCCTCCCGCCCCTCCCCATCACCCCCCCCCTTCCTGCCAGCCGAGCTTGTTCCCATCCCGCAGCTGGAAGGGCAGACCACCACCCCTGGTCACAGCCCACTCGAGTCCCTCACTGGGAGTCCCCCCTACCCCGAGGGAACCAGCCCCCCGACCCCCTCACAGGCCGCTGCCGGGCACCCGCTCTGGGCTCCTCGGCCTCTCTCCGCGCTGGCTGTCCCCTCTGCCGAGAGCGCCCTCCCAGCTCTTCTCGTCCCGGCTCCTGTGTGATGCGCCTCCGTGGACCCGGCTGGTTACGCGGAAAGGGGAAGTGGCTGGGACGTCCAGTGACCGACCACTGGCAGCTGCCCCTCGGCCTCCGCTGGGTGGCAGTGGGGAGAGGTGGGGTCTGGGGCAAACTGCAGGGTCCCCGCCCCACTGCCGTGGGTGGCGTGTCGGTGCCGGGTGCGAATGGAGCCCCAGCCTCCAGCTCTTTAGAGAAGCCGGAAATTCAGAACTACGGATAAATCTTCCACTCAAACAAACAAAATAACTTTATTTGGACCTAACGAGACATCCCTGAAGTTGAACTTGGCGGACACCGGCATGCTCTGGTTGATCTGGCCCCTCTCCGTGTCCTTCCTGGCCTCTTGGGTCACCTGTCTCCTCTGTGCCCAGCTGCCTCCCCCACCAGTGCCCCCCCGCAAAGGCAGGGCTGTGCTCCCTGTTCATTTCTGTGACTGTCCCCAGCGGAGGGAGGTGAGGGTCTGGGGCAGGACGACGGGGGGCCTGTCAGGGACGGGGCGCCTGCCGGGACAGAGTGCCCGGCCCTCCGTTCCCAGATCGATGGTGTGGGAAGGGCACCTTCCCCCAGTGTCACCGAGGAGGAAACAGGTGTAGGGAGGGGGCCACCTGCTTACAGTCAGGGCACTCTGGGGCCGGGCAGCGGGGGTCTGAGCCCAGGTCTGGTTCCAAACCAGCCCACAGCGTGCCGGCCCTGGGCCCACGGGGTGCCAGCCGCGGGTGACCGGCTCCGATGCCACCTCTGCTCCCCGGCTCTGCCAGCCCAGCGGTGGCCCAGCTAAATATACCTGCTGACGTCAAGCGCTGCTCGGCTGCTGGGCTCTTTGCAAACTGCATTTACATTTTGTGTTTTGCTTGTAAAGATTAGCACCCACCCCCCGCCCCCCCAGCAGACTGTACTGAGTGTGCTCTGACGTGCCGGATCAGAGAGGGAGTGGCTGCGGTGGTGGAAAGGCTCCGTGCTTTTTGGTCCTTCCCCATACCCCCACCGGGCACGCACACACCACGTCCACGGGTGTGCATGTCACACACACATACCCTTTCCTTCTCTCCCTTCCTCTAGGCCTCTCGCCGCCTTTCCCTCCCCCTGCAGCCAAGGAGGGGGCTCCCTGGGCTGGGCTGGGGTGTGAGCTGCCCCTTGCAGCCGGCCCTCGGGTGAGCACGGAGCACAGAGCACCTTCCTTTCGGGGCCAGGCCCGGGGGACAGGGCTGGGACCTGCCTTCTCCTCATCGGCCCCTCCCCCACCTCCCAGGGTCAGGCTGGACAGTCCTGCAGAACCCACCCCCCACCCCGGGGCCGCTCTGGTCCGCCCTCCCGGCCATCCCCACACTGGCGGTGCCTCCAGCCCACGCCCCGTTAGGCTGGTTTTCCAAGCCCCGCCAAGCTCCACTCTGGGGTTCAGCTTAAGCCCTGGCTAGTAACAGAGAACTTCTCTGCAGACCCCAGAAACCTTGGGGGGACAGTGGCTCCTTCAGGACAGAAGTTAGGAGCCCCAGGCCCTTCCAAATGCCCCCCTCCTGCCCTCCTGCCCCGGCAGCAACCCCTCACAGCCCTGCGTCCACGCTGGCGACTCCAGCCCTCCCACCTGGGGTCCAGCCGGTAGAGGTCTCTGTTGGGTCCCCTCCTGCCCCCTGGGCTCGGCCGTGGCAGCATCAGGCCAGGTCTAGGCCCCGGGTGCCCACTAGCCCCGCTCCTTCCCGACCCACCGGGAGCCGAGAGCAGTTCCGACTTAGCCCCCAGCCGCCGCTCGCTGGAGAGGGACGGGGTTGATCCCGTGTGAACTTGGAGGGTGGCTGGGCCCGTGCGTGGGAGTTAAAGCGGGGTAGGGCTCGCCTGGGTGGAGACAGACGGCTGTGGCGTGGCGGAGCGGGCTGCCCCAAGCTCCCAGACGTTCCCACGCAGGGGGCCCCCCTGAAAGAGAGAGACTGGGGCAGGGTGTGCTCTGGTTCATCCCTTTGTCCTGAGCACGGGCCACGGGCCTGCGCTGTCCTGGGAGCCAGACACAGTGCGGGGACCAAGCCACAGTGCAGGGCACTGGCCCTTCGGGGGGGGGGGCAGGCAGAGGAAAGCGAAGCAAGCTCTCAGGTAGCAATTAATTGCTGCGAAAAATGCACCTAGATAAGAGGAGGGACAGTGCGCCGAGCCGTTCCACGGCCTTGGAACGCCCCTCAGAGGCGGCCATTTCTGACAGTGCCTGCAGGAAGGGGGGGCCGGTGAGCGGCAGGTGCAAAGGCCCCGGGTGGGCGATGGCAGAGCGGCTGCCAGGAAGCCGGGGAAGCCCAGGGTGTCAGGGTGACGCTGCCCTATCTGAGTCCCCCTCGCCCTGGTGGGAGGGAGGCTGGTTTTTGCTTTAAGAGTGATGAGCAGCTGTCCGATGGGGAGGAGGCCAGAAATGGGCTAATTTAATTTACACTTGAAAAAGCGTGCCCTGCTCTGGGGAGAATGGGTTGAGGGGCCTGGGGCGGAGGAGGCAGGAGGCCTGTTAAGCCAGAGGCTGTGGCTGCCTGCGCCCACGTCAGGGGCGACAGGGCTGGTGGGGGGCAGCCATGCGCAGCTGGGGGGTGGCGGAGAGGTGGCCCGGTGGACCCACCGGTCTGCTGTGGGCGAGCAACGTGGGAAAGCGCACCCCCAGTCCCTGTGAGTCCGGTGGGAGGACAGACCCTCCGGCAGGAGGAACCCGCAGCATCCCTTCCTGGCTGGCACCTGCGCTTCGGTTCTGGCAGGAGCCGGGAGGGTTCCGGGCAGGCGGGACACCCCAGCGACAAACGCTGCCTTTTCCTGGGACAGGTGGGCGGGGGTGGGGCAGCCCCGTGACCTCCGTAAACCCTCACCCCTGTGTCTCCTTGTCGCGCAGAGCGGGATGCCTTCGACACCCTCTTCGACCACGCCCCGGACAAGCTCAACGTGGTGAAGAAGGTAGGCGCCTGGCTTCTCCCGGGCGGGCGCCGTGCCGGGGAGGGGGCGGGGACGCCGAGCCCGGGGCGGGGCGGGGACGCGGTGCTGGAAGGGGGCGGGGACAAGGAGCGGCGGGGGGAGGGGGGCGGGGGACGCGGTGCCCAGGGGAAGGGGCGGGGGACGTGTGAAGTCCCTGAAAGGTTCGCCTCACGGGTCGAACCGTAATTACCCTCGAACCATAACTCCAGTGTGTAAAAGTGGCAGCTTTTTAACTCAGCGACGTCTCCGCTCGCTGGGTATCAGCCCGCTCGCCCGCGTCTGCGAGTGAGGCCCCAGCCAGTGCCCACGTGGCGGTTCGTTCCAACGCGGGGCTTTTATTCAGCGCGGAACAGCCTTTGAGCGGGTCACCCCGCGGGCCTGCTGACCTCGGTGGCACGACGCTGCGCGCACCGCCGACGGGAGGCCTTTGCGGGTGGGGCCTTCTGTGCGTGCACTGGGCCGGCCGCTCCCCCCACCCCCCAGACAGAAGCACTGGGAGCAGGCCCCTCGCCGTCCACCCCCGCAGCAGCCTGCCCGTGAACTTACGGACGGAAAAGCCCACTCGAACCCGAGCCTCTGGAGTCGGGGGCTGGGGAGTAACGAGCTTCCGGGGGGCTCTGCCAGGAGGGCTTGTCCCCTCCCCCACCAGGAGGAGTTCCGTGTCTGGGCGCCTGGGGAGTGGCCATTTCTGTCTGCGACCCAGGGGACAATCTCCCCAAACAGGTCTCTTTTTTTAAAAAAATTTAGTCTTTATTGTATTTTTTCCATTACCGCTTAGCCCCCTCATACTCCCCCCACCAGCAGTTGCCTCCCCGTTGCCCGTGTCCCCGAGTCTTTTCTCCTTTTTGCTCGACCCCTCCCCCCTCCCCTCCCCCACCGCCCGCTGTCATCCACTCTCCGTCTGCGAGTCGGTCTCTGTTTCGCGTGTGAGTTCAGGTGGTTCGTTAGTTTCCACGTGTGAGTGAGATCCCGTGGCCTTCGTCCGTCTCTGGTAAGCCGTTTGGCTGCAGTGTGGCGGGCCCTGGAGAGCCAGAGCAGGTTTCCTACTGCTGGGTTTCTCGGAGACGTTAAAATGCTGCGGTGCTGGAACCCTCCCGGAGAGAGGGAGCTTGGGGGGAAGGACTTTCCAAACGTTCGGTCTGGGCCGGGGCCGGGAGGTCGGCAGTTCCCGGACGTGCTCCGAGAAAGGCCACAGAGTCACCCCCCTGGTCCTTCGGGGTGGAGCCTTCCCAGGGCCCTCGGGTCAGCGGGGCCACACGGTGGGACCTCAGAGCAGTGCCCCCCATCCCGCCCCGGCCGCGTCTGGCCCTGGCGTCCCTGGCTCAGCGGATGGTTTAATCCGTCTCCCTCACTTAGCCGCCGTGTGGCCTGAGCCAGATTGCGTGCCGTGCCTCAGTTTCCCCATCGGTCAAGGAGGGACAGGGGTAGCCCCCCCTCACAGGGTGCACGAGCGTAAAGCGTGACCATGTGTGTGGGAGGGTCCGGCGCGCAGTGCGCGGCCACCGTAGTGCGCTGAACTCGCCGTCGTGCACGCGGGTGAGCTTCCGACCAGCAGCAGCCGTGAGGCCACGTCATCCTTTGAAAAGACGTCCCTCGGGCACTCGGCCCTTCGCACCGAGGGAGACGAAATCCTTCCGCTCGCCCCACGGCTTCCCGCCCCCACACCGAGAGCTGCACATGGGGGCAGAGGCTCCCGCCCCGCTGTCCGGGTCTTCCCAGACCCGCCCCGCCCTGCCTTCTCCCATCCCGCCCACCTCCGGCCACGGCCCGAGGAGCCCACAGCGTGTGCCCAGGTCTTCACGGCTGGGCGCCCGCTCCGCCCGCTCCGCCCACCCCCGCCCCAGGCCCGGCACAGAGCTCCTGCCGCACCCCACTTCCGGGCAGGGAGCCCCACGCCCTCCCGCGTGCTCGCCAGACCTCTCCTCCCGTCTCGCGGGCTTTGCCGTATCACTCGACTTCTGCGTCACTGTCACGGGGGGGTGCATGTGGGGAATGAGGTCACGGGGTCTCCAGGGTGGGGCTCTGCCCTGCTGTCTCCGGGTCCCCAGCACCACGCGGAGCACGTGGCCGTGGGAGCTGCTCCGTACGTTTGAGCGGAAGGAATGAGGAAACCACATCACGCCCGGGGGAGGGAGGGCGGGGGGGGCGGGGCTGGGCTCGAGTTTCCATCAAACTGGGGTCTGTTTGCTGAGAAAAGTCACGAATGACAGTTTACAAATGCCTGTCCCCGAGATCAAGCCTGGGTGTGGGGGGGGTGTGGGTGGTGGTGGCCCCAGGCAGCCTTTCTCTCTCCATCTTTCACGTCCACGGTGACATTTAGGGCACATTTAAATGTTTAGTCGCCTCCCGCTGACAGCTGTGTCCTTCTGAAGGGCGCTGTCTCTCCCCTCGGGGCTGCGGAGCTCTGACGGAGCGTGTGACCGTGCGAGCGGAGACCTGTGCTTCCCTCTGCCACGGGGACGGCTTTAGGCGTCATGCCCTTGAAACCAGGGGCCGGAGCACAGGAATCTCCTGGAAACCGGGACGTTCCGTGTGAAGCATGAGCTGCTTATTTTGGCCCAGGGGGAGCTCAGGGGAGCGGGGCCTCTCTCACGGCTCTTGTGTCCCTTTGCCCCCGCAGTCGCTCATCACGTTTGTGAACAAGCACCTGAACAAGCTGAACTTGGAGGTGACGGAGCTGGAGACCCAGGTGAGCCGCGTGCTGGGCGGAAGGGCCCTGCGTCCTGCGTCGTGTGCAGCCAGCGCTGTGACCCCGGGGTGGGGGCCCCGTGAGCACACGTCACATGACACCCGGTGCGTCCGGCAGGAGTGCCCGCCCTGCAGCCCCAGCCACCCTCTGTCTCTGCCTCCTGGGGCCGTCGGAGCAGAAAGCACAGCACCCGGCGCCCTCAGGCGGCCGACGTTCGTTCCCTCCCAGCCCTGGAGGCTGCGGGGCGGGGGTGGGGGTCGGCTGGCGACCTCGGACATCCGTGGGGTTGTGGCTGTCGTCACCCCGGTCTCCACCTCACCGTCACAAGGGGTTCTCCGTGTGTGTGCGTGTTTGCCAGGCTCCTGCTTTCGTAAGGACGTCAGCCACGTTTGGTCAGGGCCCACCAGGCTGACCTCATCTGTACCGGTCACTTCTGGAAAGACCGCTTCCCATAAGCCTGCACTCCCAGGGCCGGGGGGCTGGGAGGCCGACACCTGTCTTTGAGGGGCCATGCAGTTCTGCCCCTAACGCCCTCCAGCTGCCACACCACCCTCCAAAGAGCCTCTGTCTGTGCCGGTCCCGCAGTCTAGAATGTTCCATCCCCGGCCCCCAGCAAATGCTCACTAAACAGCCCCGGAGAACAGGCGCAGCGCATCTCCTCCTGCCGCAGGCGTGAGAGGTGCCGCGGCCTCCCAAACACCGCGGGTCTGGACCGCCCGCCTCGGTCCGGTTACAGGTGGATTTTGGTCCGACGAGTGTATCGGAGAAGTTTTTGATGTTTCTCGTTACTAACACAACAATCCTATCGCTGCTTCTTTGTTATTAAGGAATGAGTCATTGTACTTGTGGATAGATACTTTTTCTCACACTATCTTTCAGTTTTGGTGTCTCGCGTCAGTGAGACGGTGACACTGGTAACACCTACAGTGTCTCGTGTGAGGCCACACGGATGCAGGCACAGCCCACGACGGCTCATCTTGTGAACAAGCCACGTGACCCTGCGGCACAGAACCGCACGTGCATTTCCTCTTAGTGGCGTCTGTTCTCCGGCGTCCTTTGTTGTGAGACTGCGGTGCACAGCGCGTGGATTCTGGACGGTGCGGGATGTCGGCATCCCCAACCCCCGCCCCGCGTGGGCCCCGGGTCCGCTGAGCCCTCCCCACCCCCACGCGGAACAAGCGCAGCGTCGGGAAACTGTGTTTTGAGCGCGCAGCAGGTGTTCAAGACAAGATATAATTTTCTAGGGATTAGCTGGGGCTGGAAGTCGGAGCTGCGAATTCTTGGAAGCAGCTTCTGAAATGCACGGCTGATCCTTCTTAAAGCCCTGGGCGCTTGCGTTCATTTCTTTCTCTCCAACTTTTCTCATTTGCTTTTCTAATTAAAAAAGTAATTCAGGTTCATTGTGGAAACGTCTGACAATGCAGGGGCGCCAACCCAATAAAAACCCTTTGTGACGCGTCGCCCTCAGATGCTGTGCCGAGAGGTCAGGCCCGGAGCTTTTCTCTGCGTGGGTGTGTGTTTGAGAGCCAAAGGCCTGTTTTTATTTTTCTTCAGATACATATTTATTTATTTATTTATTTATTTATAGAGAGAGGGGAAGAGAGGGAGAAAGAGAGGGAGAGAAACGTCAACGTGTGGTTGTCTCTTGTGTGCCCCCTACTGGGAGCCTGGCCTGCAACCCAGGCCTGTGCTCTGACTGGGACTTGAACCGGTCGGTGGCCCTTTGGTTCTCAGGTCGGCACACAATCCGCTGAGCCACAGCAGCCAGGGCCAGAGGCCTGGTTTTAATGTGCATGTGTGTTTGTGTGTTGTGTGCGAACACATTGATTGTTTTCAGCACTTCGCTGACATTGCTCACTTAGCCTCTGGCCCTTCCTCCCTGCCTCCCCACAGCCTCCCCCACCGTCCTCTCCAGGGGTCATTGTAGTTCCCGAGTGGATGTGTATTTTTCTAGCTATTTCATTGCATAAATGTACTTTCTAAATGGCAGCGGAGTGTCCTGTGCTGTTGGTAATGAGCTTTTGGTTACCCAGTATATTGTGGGCATCTTTTCGTGTGAGTGTGTGTGTGTTCCTGTCTACTCTCGTCTCTGTTGCCTGGCCTGGCGTCTGTATTCAGCCCTTTTAACAGCCGCTGTCTGTGCGTCAGAGGCTGCGCTTCATTAGCCCCGCCCCCGACGACCACGGGGCGTTTCCTGCCCTGGTGACCAGCGGCTTAGGGAGCGTCTGTGCGGCGCGGCGCTGTTCAGTCCTCCTCTGTCCCCTCGGGGTCCAGTCCTGGAAGGGGGACCACGGAGCAGGTGGAGGCGCCCTGTGGGCCCGGCGGGGGGTGGGGGTTGGACGGCCGGAGCGCTCCTCCCTCTCAGAGCGGAGAGCCATGTCCTCCTGGCGGTTCCCGCCTGTCCTGTGCCCGGTCTCCCGCGCGCCAGCACTGACAGACGGAGGCTTGGAAGCTGAGTCACTCAATGGGAATCTCCATTCCTTTTCTACACCATAGTGTGTAACGTAGTGTCTTAAGGAATTTTCAACCACTGGTCCACCAGAAAACGTCAGTGGCCACAGAAATGCAGAGAACTCTTTCCTTTCGTTGCCGTGGAATGGCGTATTTTTAATAAAGATGGGGTTGGCCAAAAAGTCCGTGTGGTTTCCATAAACTAGAAGACACATTTTTCATTTTCACCCAAAACGTTCTGGATTTGGATATTTTCAGTGTGTGGTAGAACGTTGATTGTTCCCAATGTCTCGGTTTGATTGCTGTCGACTTCAGCTGGTCTACAAAACCGTGGAGCAAAACTTTGCAAACCGCTTTTTAAAAAAGATTTTATTTATTTATTTTTAGAGAGGGGGGAGGGAGGGAGAAAGAGAGGGAGAGAAACATCAGTGTGTGGTTGCCTCCCAGCCCCCTACTGGTGACCTGGCCTGCATCCCAGGCGTGTGCCCTGACTGGGAATTGAACCGGCAACCCTTTGGTTCGCAGGCTGGCACTCAGTCCGCTGAGCCACCCCAGCCAGGGCTGCAAACCACTTGTGACAGGTTCGGTCTATCACAGCATCCTCTCCATATGCTGCACAAAACCTTTTTGCATTTTAGTGGCATTTTTACTTTTTTTAAAATAATAAAGCATAATATGCCAAAATGTTGCTTATTTTCTTCCATCTTCAATATCAAAATGGCTACACAAAAACCCCCCAGTTTCGGTAAGCTGTTTTTTAAGTGTGCGCTGACTGGACAGCTGGCACCACCCAATCTGACAAAGTTGTTCTGGATGAAGTTAAAGACAGCTTAGCGCTACCAGAGCCGTCCTCCGGGAAAAGCATGAACGGACTTTTTGGCCAGCCCAGCATGTTCATCGTTCAGTCTGGATGCGGGGGGCCCAGAGAGACCTGGGCTCAGATTCCTGCCCGGGGGGTGGGGGGCAGTGCACGTGTGAGTGTGTTTTCCCTTCTTGTGGAAACCCCGTGTGTGCTCCGGGCAGCCCCTGGCGCTCCGCCTCTCTGAGCTTCTCTCCGCGTGTTTGCATGGAGACGGCGGGTGAGGTGAGGCTACCTGGAGACTGACGCGTTTCAAGGTTGGCATTGGTGACGGGGAAGGTGTCTTGGGCCCCCCCCCAGGAGCAGGTCTCTGAACTGGGGCACACCGCCCGCCCCCAGGACCCCTGCTCCGTGGAAATGGAGGGTCCCACTCATTGCTGACAGACTGCCACTCTCCGCCTGGCGTCCCCTCCGGGGTGCCCCTTACCATCTCCTCTGCCTGCCTGGGACCAGGTGGGCCAGGGGTGGCTTGGAAGACGCCGGGGAAATAAGCCAAGACTCCCTGCCCCTCTCGCCCCGAGGGCCCAGCTGCACCTCCAGGCAGGGGAAGTGGGCGGTGGCTTCATTCGTGGGCCGCCTCTGCTTCCATGGAAACGGTGGTGTCTCAGGCGTGCTGTGCAGTGTCACTGGGGAAACTCCAGGGCGCTTCCCAGAGGGCAGCAGAAAACAGCCTCATCGAGGTGCACAAACTTTTTTTTTTTAACCCTCTGATCTCCTTATGGAGATACGTGGGTGACGTCTTCCTGGGGTGGAAGCACGAGACCCGTGACGCGCAGGCTGTGGGCCGGTTGCCAATCAAACCACCGTCCACCGGGGCCTGGAGCGCTGGTCCCCGGAAGCCCCCACTCGGCTGATCCTGACCCTGCCTCCCTCCCACGGCCGGGGCTTCCTGACAGTGGGCGTCTGTGATTCTGTCTGTCTGTCAGTCCCCTCCCCTCGGCCCCTCCTGAAGCCGCTCTGCCCTCGTCGGTCTGAAGTGCTTTTCCCGTGAAGGGAGTGATGGCCCCATGACCCGGCTCACGAGGGTCTGTCTGGGTTCCCGGACTCCCTCCTGGGGTGGCAGGTGGTTCTGGGCCAGGTGTGGGTGGGGGGCTGGGCTCGCAGGTGAGGCCGCAGCCTCCCCCGCCAGCACCACCCGGGGCTTCAGGGCCCTGCTGGGGAGGACACTAGTTGCTGGGGACACGCAAAGGCTCCGGGATGGGACAGTCTTGTCTGTGCCCTGAGCACAGCCGGGAGGAGGTGCCCAGGCAGCTGACGAGTGAGCAGACAGGAATGCATGCCCCAAAGCACAGCTCAGGCTGCCACTGAGTCCACCGGCTCCCCGCCCACCACCTGAGAGAGGGAGCCTGCGTCGTCCCCGAGTCAGTGCTGGGGGACGCACCTCGTGGCCGGGCGGTCTGGTCCTGGAGCCACGGTCCCATCCATGCGGCTCCGCCCCACCCCTGCACACACGCACGGCCACGCCCAGCCCCCAGCGCAGTGCCTGCCCTGGCTCCCCCTGATGGCAGGTCCTCTCGCCCGAGCCGGGGACGGACCGTTTTGCTCTAAAGCATTTTCCTCCTTTCGAGTGGACGTGTAGTGGTGCCCGCCGACGCCGTGTGTGCCAGGAGCGTCACCGAGTGTTTCTCTGCAGTTTGCAGACGGCGTGTACCTGGTGCTGCTGATGGGGCTGCTGGAGGACTACTTCGTCCCCCTGCACAACTTCTACCTGACCCCGGACAGCTTCGACCAGAAGGTACGTGCGCGCCCGCGTCCGGGTAGGGGTGCCAGGGTGGGCCCCAGGGCTCTCTCTGGGCCGCGTGACCTTCTCCAGACGCAGAGCTGCCCCGCAAGTGGTGCCGCGGTTAGACAGCCCCCCGCACCGGAAGGAAGCCTGCCGGCCGTGCCCGGTGCCCGTTCTGTCCCAGGCCTTTCCCGCGGGTTGAGGTCAGCCCAGTGCCTTATCCGTCCCCTGTTCTTGCCACGCCCGTGTCACGTCTGGGGTCCCCGCTGTATCTTGAGGCTCCCAGCTGCCCTCTTCGGGGGCCGCGCGGGGCCCCGTGGAGTGGCCGTGGTGCCGCTGTCTGCGGTTTCTCCCTGTTGCGCAGTCAGCATGCCCCTGTTTTCCCCTGTTCGTACAGTGGGTGTCGTCTTGAACACAGGTGTTTCGTTCCTGGGGGTTGGTTTTAGGAAAAGCCCCCAGCTGGGGCTGTCTGGCTGGGTCAGCGGGCCTGCCCTCTGCGTCTGGGCGGCTGGTTCTCTGGTGTCCCCGCCCTGTGTCGCTGGGCCGTTTGCCCCCTGCCCAGGGCCCCCGGAGTTCAGCCATCCGCCAGGACTGGTTGCCTCTGGAAACCTGGCACGTGGGCTGACCGTATGGACACACAGGCCCCAGTCATTTCATTCCCCCAAAGCGCTGGACCTGTGCGTCGGAGAGGCAGACGGCCAGAGGCCATCTCCTCGGGAGGAGGCCAGCTCCGGGGGTGGTTGGGGGGGATCCTGTCGGCCCGTGAGCCCCTCCCTTGCCCCTCCCCTCTCCCCTCACAGGGAGCGAAGGTGTCCCTGAGCCCCGGGGGGTTCTTCCTGAGCCCTGAGGCTATGAAGCCTCTGGTACCCTGGACCAGCAGCTAGCTCACAGGCCACGTTTCCCGGCTGCATAGACCCGAGCCCCCTTCAGGCTGCTCCCGACACCTGGGCCCCCGGGCACCGAGTGCAGGCACGGCGGACAGAGGTGGCAGGGTGCAAAGGGGCGGCTCTCTGAGTGTCCCCCGGGCCCCTTTGCTCTGGCGCTCGCAGGCTGGAGACCGCGGTTCAGGTCGGAGATGCCTGGTGGGCCCGAGTTCTCAACGACCGCAGTGGGTCTGAGAAACGAGACGGGTCCCCTCGCTTCCTGCAGACCCTCCGACTGCGCCCCCCGCCCCCCGGGGCTGGGGCGCCGCCCACAGCTCTTCACTCCAGAGCCACGGAGGGGTCTTACTCTGCGCTGGCCATTATGCCCACCCGGCATCTTTCTGGAAGATTCCACAGTGCCCCTCGCTCTCTGCGGTGTACTTGGAGGTTATCCCTAGAAGCAGGGACCAGAAAGTGCTCTGCAGTTTCAAAGTCCTTTTCCCCTGCACCCCTATCAGCTTCCCTCTGTCCCCGACGAGGACACGGAATGTGGGGAGGCCTGAGACAGCCTGAGGTCAGTCACACGGGCCGCAGGGGAGGAGCCTACTCCACTCCGGAGCGCTCTGGGCTTCTCTCACCCGGCCGGGGTGTCCCAAACCCCTCCCCTGGCAGGGAGGCTGGGCTGCCGGGTGCCCTGCCACGGGGCCAGCTCCCCGCTGTGGCGCAGGGCTGCGGGGCTGTGGGGCTCCGTGTGCGGCCTGGTCCCCGAGGCCTGGGAGCTGTGCTGTTCCGCAGTCACAGGCGGGGAGGGTGGTCCCGCGGCCATGCTCTGTGTGCCGTGTCCAGGGCCCGGGCTCAGGGGCGAGGGCAGGGCCCCCACGGACAGGCGGAGGGCGGTGGCCGCGTCCTGCCTGGCAGTTCCTCGGACTGAGGAGAAAGCCGGAGGGAACTCTTGGTTCCCGGCCGAGCACCGCGGGGCTGAGGGGCCGCGCGGGGACTTGGAAGGGAGCGCCCCCTGAACTGCCGTCCCCGTGGGGCCGGGTGGGGAGGTTTTGTGACCCACTCACGCTCAGCGCTGAGCGGTTTTGAGGAGCCGCCTCTCCTCCGAGGTCTCGGGCCTGACCTGCTGGGGGCCAGACACCGACAACACCCCCATCCATGACCCGCCTGTGCTGGGGGTGCGGGGGACAGCCTCCAGGCTGGGGGGACCCCGGGGAGGCACCGAGAAGATGCTGGCTCCCAAGTCGGGCTGATACCCAAACGCGGCTAAACCCAGCTCTTCTTCCTGGGCCCCCGACCTTCCTCCCCATCTCCACCTCGACCCGCAGCCTGCCGGGCCCGGGCCAGTGCAGCGGTCGGCTGGTGGCGAGGGGCTGGGGGCTCAGGGAGAGAGGCTGCTCTCTGCTGGGGACAGGGCACAGGGCACAGGGCTGGTACCCCTGGGAAGTGACTCCTCTTCTCCAGGCCTCAGTCTCCTCATCTGTAAAACGGGGCCACTGTCCCTTCTCGTGGTATGGACGTGCCAGGCCCCGGGGCAGACACGCGGGGACCCCGAGCCCTCAGCGCAGGCTCTGTGCCTCTGCGTCTCCCGGCCACCGCCCCCCCTGCCGCCCGTCAGACCCCTGAGAGGGGAGGGAGCACCAAAAGTGAGCGTGTGTTGCCCTCAACAGACCTCTGCCTGCCCGTGCCCTGCGCCAGGCAGCTGGGTCCCCGTGGTCACTGCAGAGACCCACCCCGCCCGCGCCTGCACCCGTCCTGGCCTTTCGGGAGGAAGGGGGCGGGCGGCGGGCGGGCCTGGGGACAGCCGTGGCCCGGGGGTTAATGACTCTGGCGTCCTTGGCAGGTCCACAACGTGTCCTTCGCCTTCGAGCTGATGCTGGACGGAGGGCTCAAGAAGCCCAAGGCGCGGCCGGAAGGTGAGGCCCCGGCCGAGGCCCCCCCCCCCCGGGGAGGGACAGCTGGGTCTCCGAGCTGGTGGGCGGCCGGACCCGCCTGTCCTGACGGCGCTGCCGACCCCGGGTCACCCCTGGGAGCCCCGGGGTCCTGGTGTCGGGGGACCGGGGAGGCTATGCTGACAGAGCCACCCGCGCTGGTTCCTCCGTGACCACTGGACATGGAGGCTTCGGCCTGTCCCACGGGCCTCGGGGTCTCACGGCCTCTCCAGGGCCCAGCGCTCAGGCAGGGCCGGGGGGCGGGCACCCGTCTCCCGACTCGGAAGGAAAGCCTGGGTGGGCTTCCTGCAGGTTAGGGCTGCCGGGCTGGGGCCCCGGGGGGCAGCGAAGGTCGATGCTCAGAGTGGGGTGCAGTGCGCTCCTGCCCAGTGAGGGGCTGAGCCGGGCGGGCGGCCAGGCCCCTCTTCCCCGCCCTTCCTGGCCGCCGGGTAGATGAGCTGTCCCGGGGTTCTCTCCCGAGGGGGCGTCCAGAGCCGAGGAGAGCTTCTTCAAGGACACATTCTGTGTGGGGACAGTGGGGTGGGCCCAGCCAGTCCCACTTCCCACCAGTTTCCAGGTGGCTCGGCTGCTCCTGGCCCGGGGCCCCCGCTGCCCTGGGGGCAGCGTGACTTCTGGGTGGGGCGGGTTCATGACCCCTTAGATGCCCACCTTGGTGGAGCGTTTAAGGCCCGTCCAGGGACAGGGGTTCCATCCTGTGACCCATGAATGCAGCCCCCACCCCCAGTCACTTGCTGAGGTCACAGGGTCGTTTGAGGCTGAGAACTTGGGGCCTCTCTTACCAGGAGGACAGGGCCCTTCCCACCCAAGAAGGTGCCACACTGCCTGGGCCCCAGCTGTCATCCCCAAAGCGTCCTGGGGTGGGCCAGGCTATGCGCCCAAACTTGCAGGGCAGGACAGTGGCCGCCACCCCGCCCCCGCTGGACGCCTGACCCCGCCGCAGGCACAGGTTAGCCGGTGACCGTTTGGTCCCCTGCGAGTGTCCTTGGCTGTTGTCGACCCCACCCCATGTGGGTGTCATCGGCCGTCACTCTCGTCCTGGTGACGACCCTAGAGGGGACGAAGGGGCACCTGTCCTGGCCGCTGCAGGGGCGCACCCCACGGAGGTGGCCGGGGGCTCTCGCGGAGGCCCGTGTCTGAGGACAGTGCTGCCCAGACCGTCCCCGGCGACCGGATGCGGCGGTGCTCAGCCGTGGGCGGGCCACCCGGCCCTGAACCCCCCCCCCAAGTGCAGGGCTCCCCGTGAGCTCGGCCGCCCCGTACACGGCCCCCCGTTTCCTTCTGCAGACGTGGTGAACCTGGACCTCAAGTCCACCCTGCGGGTCCTCTACAACCTGTTTACCAAGTACAAGAGCATGGAGTGAGCTCGGCGGGGCGCCCCCGCCCTCCCCACGGCCTGCAGTTCCGCCCCCCACCCCCGCCCTCCGGCCGACCTCCTTTCCGCGTGATCTGAACTCGGGGCTCCCGGCTCCCGCACCGGGGGCTCCTCCGGGAGCTGAGTCAGGTTGTCGGCCTGGATCGGAACACGAGCAGGGAAAAGCCAACGAAGCCGGAACCAAACAACCCCTCAGGCCCCCGGGGGGGGCACCCCGCGCCCCTCGGACAGCGGCGCCGCTGGGGCCGCAGCAGCCTGTGGCGGGCCAGGCGGCCCCTCCCGGGAGGGCTGTCCTCGGAAGGGGGCCTGTCTGGTGCAAAGCGCTTCTGCCGCGGCAGGAGCCTTCCCCCGAGTCCCCCCTCCCCAGACGCCCTGGGTCATTTTCCTTTCCTCGTTGCCCCGGCGTCTATGACCCGGATGAGCAGCCAGCAGCTGCCCACAGGGAGGGACGGACGCGTGGAAGGAATGACTGTGTTTCTTGCCGTGGGGCTGGGCTGGGCGGGAGCCGGCCCGGGGGCGTGTCCTGTCCCACCTCAGCACCCAGGTGGCCACCTCCTGCCGGCTGACTGCGTGAGGCCGAGGCTCCGGAGGAGGGTGTGACCCATTATCCAAATTATTTGCGTTCTTGTTGGCGCACAGGTGAGGGCGTGCCTTCCGCACACCCCGGAGGACCCCCAGGGAGCTGTGGGAGGCTCACTGTCCTCCTCCCACGTCCCTGTGTGGGTCAGCGTCCACCGCAGGGCCTCGGCGGGGGGTCCTGGGAGGGCCTGGGAGGGCCTGGGTGGGGCCCGGAGTTGGGGTGGGGGGGGGCTCTGCTGTGGGGACGGAGCCTTCTGCATGATCAATCAACCCATCGTCCCCATGGGCTTGAGTTCCGGGGGTCAGGGAAGTGGGGTGTCTTCTTGGGGTAGCAGAAAAACTTTCCTTAATTCTGGAAAGTTCTGGGGTGCACGTTTTCAGGGAACTGAGTGTTTTTGGAGAGGGACCCCGGTCCGCAGGAACTCAGTGGGAGCGGGGTAGGGCTCCACGGGGCCGAGGGTGCAGTTCCTGTCTGTGTCCTCCTCTGTGGGTGCATCTGTGACGGCCCCCACTGCCTCGGGGCGCCCGCCTGGAGCCCCGTCTCCCCTGGACGACCGCAGCACCGAACCCAGAGCGCAGCGTGCCTGTCCTCATTGGGTGCCACACGGAGCTCTGCTGAGTCAAAGCCGCCACCTCCTTTCCCGCCCCCGGGGGTGCCAGCGCGCCACTGTCTCCTGAATCGTTTCAAGCCATGTTTACTTTGGATTTCTGGATGTTAAATAAAAGCCACTCAAACCCTGGCGTGTTGTTGACCCGGCCTGCCTGGCGACGGCAGGAAGCCGGCCCTTCGTGCGCGGGCTGTGGGCCAGCGGGCCCGGACGGCTCCTGGGCCAGGGACGCGCGTGAGGGGAGCCCCGTGTGGGGCGGGCAGAGCGGGAGGTTCACCCGACACGGAGCCCGTGAGCGCGGGCCGCTGCCGCCTCTGTTTGGTGGTCACTGGTTGTGCCCGCTCAGGGCCAGGGGCTGGGCCCCGTGACCCCGCTGATCCCCACCCAGCAGGAGCCAGCGCCCAGCCCTGGGTGGGCAGAGGGGGGACAGACAGATGGCGGTCTCAGCGGTGGGTGAGTGGTCACGAAGAACAGTGTGGGGCAGGCGGCCCTTCTGCCCCGTCCCTGACCGGAACAGGGGCTGCCGGCGTCCAGCGGCACCGGCCACGGGAGATGCTGCTCCGGCCGGAGGGCGAGGGACACCGAGCGGCCTGTGCCAATCTGTGCTTTGCTGGGAGGGGCCTCTGCGAATACGGACCAGGACGGAGCACTGCCGGTTCTCGTGGGCCAGCGTCAGCCCCTGACCCTCCCGCACCTTCGGGTCGCTCCTGTTCAGGGGACATTCTCCGAGGGTCTGTGTGGCCCTGTGACACAGCCAGGCCACTGCCTGTGCTCCACAGGGAGAGAGAGAGACACGCATGTATGCGGTCCCCAGGGTCGCTGGGGGAGGCAGGGGCCCAGGGAGTGGCCCAAGAGCAGCTGGAGCTGTCCAAGGGGCGCGTCAGGACCTTCTGCAGAAGGACGCGGGCCAAGGGAGGGCTTTGGGTTGACGTGGAGTGGAGGCGGGCCCTGCACCCCGTAATCCTCTGTCTTTTGGAGACGTTGTTTTGTCCCCTTTCTCCTGTGTGGACGCCTTGGCGTGACCAGCACGCACTCAGGAGGGCCTCGAGTGCAGCCACCCCCTCCGCAGGGGGCGTCTGCCAGTGGAGGGTGGGGGTCTCCGCTTCCGTCAGGGTCCCCTGCGAGTGGCCAGCATCCGGGGAACCACGGTGACGTTAATTACATGGCCACTTGCCCTCAGCGGAGTCTGCAGCGGCCCGGGGAGAGGCCACGGATGGCAGACCTCCTGTGTGAACAGCCCATTTCCGCTCGGTGCAGGCCGACGCCAAGTCCACGCTCAGCAGCCGCCTGGGGGAGCAGCGTCGTCCCGCCCTTCCCACCGGTGCCCCGGGCCTCAGACGGACCCCGCAGCGAGGGCGTCGCTGTCACGAGCGCGGCCCGTCCGGGCCGGGGGTCCTCTCCCCGGCTCTCCCAGCCTGCAGCCCTCTCCGCACTCGGTTCGCTGTTTCGTGCCGACAGAAAGGAGCGAGCGTCTGCAGCGTTTTTGGAAAGACACAAGCCTCCGGTTCTCTCCGGTTTAACTTGGTGCTTGTCTGCTGGAACTGGCCGTCCTTTAAGTCCGGGGGCTGGGAGGGAGGACAGGGGTGGGGGCCAGAGGAACTGGCGTCCCCTCGCCCGGCGTGGGTGCCTCAGAGGGGGTCGTTGTGGAGCTTCCTGGCAGGGGAGAGCCCCCCCACGCCCCACCCCCTACCCCCGTCCGACGTGGGGGCGGGGCTGCCTCCCCGGCACCATGATCCATGTGGGGGCCCTGGACTTCTCCGCAGGCCACGATCCCAGTCTCAGAGTCCCTCTCTCCCCCCACGGCGTGACGCCCTGCCCGTCACGGGCGAGGCTGGCCCTTTGGGCTGCGCGGTGATCCTCGGGCTCGGGGTCAGGTCCTGCGCCTGACCTTCAGCTCCCAGAGCCCTGCGGCCCCAGGTGCTAGGGGCTCCCCCGGGGCTCCCCGCCGCTCTGCACACACCGCACACTGAGGGGTCGAAGCCCAAGACCGCTCTTTTCTGAGCTCTCGGGTGTGACACTGAAGCACAAGCAGCCTCGGCCCCGGGCAGGGTGGCGCACAGCCGGGGCCACGGGCCTCCTTTTGCCTCATCCTGCGTCCTCACCGCCAGTGTGGGGACCCTGACGCAGAGGGACAGGCACGGGGCGAGGTCAAGGAAGAACAGCAGGGGGTCAGCCTGGCTGGGCCTGAGGGCGGGAGGGGCCAGGAGACAGAGCTGGCAGGCCAGGGCTGGGTTGTGCAGACTGCGTTTTTCTGTTCTTTGGGCTTTTTAAAAATTTTATTGATTTTTTTTAGAGAGAGAAAAAAGGAAGGGAGGAAGGAAGAGACAGAAACATCCATTTGTTGTTCCACTTAACTTAGGCATTCCTTGGTTGATTTGTGCATGTGCCCTGACTGGGGATCGAACCTGCAACCTTGGCATAGCAGGAAAATGCTCTAACCGACTGAGCTACTCGGCCAGGGCTGGTGGATTTATTTTAAGAGCTATTGGACGCCATTGGTGGGTTTCAAGTGAGTTGGGTCGAGAAGCAGGTCCTCTGGTTGCTTGTGGAGAACAACGTGGGTGGGAGTTAGGGTGTGGAAGAAGCTGGCAGCCAGGAGCTCCAGCAGGGGGCTCCTGTGGGGCCCAGGGGAGGGGGAGGGGCCCCGGCCAGGTGGGGGCTGGGGGAAGCTGACTTCCACCCCGTGGCCTCATGGCGGGGTGGCTGGCGCTGCTGTCTGGAGACAAGAAGCCTGGGGGAGGGGGAGGAGCAGGCTGGGTTTGTGCGGTGGGGGGCGGGAAAAGGAAGAAGAAACATTAAATTTGAGTTGCTCTCGAGGCGCCCAGGGGGCCGGGAGGTGTGGCCGGGTCGTGGGCTCCCGGGCAGGGCTCTCGGGCGGGCCTGCAGTGGCGGCTCTGGAGGCACCAGGCCTGCAGCCCCGCGGGAGGAAGCGGCCGCAGCCGGCCCAGGGGCCCTGCAGAAGCCTCGGCCCAGCCTGGAGGAAGTGAGCGCCAGGCCCCTGCCTCCTGGGGCCCTGCAGCCCCCTGCTGACCTAGGGAACCCGGAACCTGCTTCTGCGCGGAGCCCGGGCCGCTGTTTCAGCTCCGTGGCCCTGGTTTCCTTGCGCGGAGGAAGCAGCCAGGTGAGTCCCTCATCTCGGCCCCGAGAGTCTGGGCCCCGAGAGTCTGTGTGTCCCCAGTGCTTGGGAGTCCGAGCTCACACAGGGAGGGCCCCAGGGGCCGTGGGAACTGACCCCAGAGAGCCCAGTCTCCGCAGAGGGAGCCGGCAAAGTGGCCCCCCACCCCCAACACTGTCCCCCAATGCTGAGAGGGGCCACCCCCTCCTGCCCGGAGGCCCAGAGGGGCGGGAGGGCTCTGCCTCTTCGCGTGTCCAGGTGAACCGATTCTGTTCGCCACAGCTTCTCCCCTGGGCCTCGTCCACCCCGAGTCTTCAGAGGGAGAAACTGAGGCCCAGGTAGAGAAGGGACTGCCCGGGCTGCTGATGGCCACTGGGCCGCCTCTGGCCGGCATGCAGCCCGGCCCCTCACTGTAAAGAAGCGTCAGGACCAGAGCAGGGAGGGTGTCTGCCCGGGGTCACACAGCCGGAGTGAGGAAGAGCCGGCCTGGAAGCTGGGCTCCCCGAGGCCCAGGCCTGCCTCCCTCCTCCTCTCTGGCCGCAGCCTTCGCACCAGGCCCCAGGGCCCAAGAGGGGGCTTGTGGGTGCAGGGGACAGGGCCAGCCCAGCAACAGTGTTCTTCCCGCCCCACCCCCCACACTTCAGGACAGGACGGCCCCTGGGTGCCCCAGGCCGGCTGCTAGTGCAACGTGGTTGGGAGGGGGGTGTGGGGCCTTTGGCCCCGTGGAGGCCTCTGAGCACAACTCTGGGGCCCTGCCGCTGGGGCTGGACCTGACCACCGCCCAGCCACGGGGCGCCTGGGCCCCAGATGCCTGTCAGGGTTGGGAACTCGGGGAGGACCCGGGCAGGAGAGGGAAGGACGGAGGCAGGGCTGCCCGCGAGCAGGAGAGGAAGTCGGGAGGGGAACAGGAAGGAGGCCCGGCTGGGCCTGGTGTGAGCTGGCGCCCCGCCCCCCCCCCCGAGATGGAGGTCGTGTACACTCTGTGGGTGCTGTCATGAGTGGGAGACCCCCAAACCACCCGAGAAGGAGCCCCACTGCAGGGAGCCTTGGTCGGAATTGGAGACCCGGCTGGGCCAGGCCATCCCTGAGCGCTCAGGCTGGAGTGAGGACCCAGCCCATTGGGCAGTGGCACTCGGGCTGGAGGTGCTGCTCTGTGCCCTGCTGTCTGGGGCTGGGGCCCCGCACCCCACACCGCAGGCTCAGGGTCTGTGGGTAACACCCATCCGCATGTTCCCCCACAGGCCCCCAGATCTCCCCCTTAGGCTCAGGGGTTCCTGGATTGGTCAAGCTCTGAGGAGTGGCCGCCCCCTTTGTCCTGACTGTGGGTGCCCTGGGGGGGGGGTGTATGTTGGGGGCTTCCTGTGCTGCAGGGGCAGGGTGGGCCGGCTGCTCTGTGCCCAGCTGGGGGTGCCCTGGCCCCCGTGCTCGGCGGTGCCCTCGCCAAGTGCCTTCTCCCACCC